GTTACCTAACTTCTTTTCATCATTTTCGCTAATTTTTAAATGAGTAAAACGGTAACTTTGCTTATATATAAATTAAACTAATAAAATAAAATAAAATAAAATAAAATTTTCATTTAAAAAAATTACTTAAAAAAAACTTACGAAAAAAAAATGAAATAAAAAGTTACTTAAAAAAAATCCCTTATAAAATTAAATAAAATAAAAATTTATTTGTAAATAAATGTTTTTAAAATAAAATAAAAACTCATTTTAAAAAAAAATTACATAGAAAAATAAAATAAAATAAAAACTTATTTAAAAAAAAACTTTTTAAATTAAAAAAATTATGTTTTTCAAAATTATTTTTTTATATATAATGCAAAGTTACTATTCTACTACTTTAAAATTAGTGAAGATGGTGAAAAAAAGTAAGATAACCATGGTGAAACATTATATTAAATTGGATGATTATAGTAAAATAAAATTAAATTGGATGGCCATAATGACACTATGTATAAGACCATGGTGAAACAAAATCAAAATGTATCATCATAATGACACTAAGTATAAAATTGGATAGTCATTGGTGAATTCAATCCATACAACATGTTATGTGAAAGTGTAAAATGAAGGTGAAAGGGTTCATGTTATTGTTCTGTATTTGTATATGAATTATGTAATACTGTATTTGTCTTGTATATGAATTGAGATGTTGAAATATGAAAGTGACATATTCTGACACTTTTTTTAAGAAATTTCCGTACTATGTAATTTGAATTCTTTTTATAAGTGTGAATAAAATTAATGTCTTCATAATACATTAATAATTAAAATATTTCAAATAAATATCATAATATCCCATTTGGTAATTTTCTACAATTTAGAACGACTTTCTTAGAAAGTTTTTCAACGATATACGTCTATTCCCGTTTTAAAATTTTACCTAGCACAAGACGATGATGTCCCTACCTGATAATATGTTAAAGTATTGTGTTAAAAAATAAAAAAATAAAAAATTAATAATAATAATAAAATTATCTTTTTCAATAACTTTCAGCCAATAAACCTAACCCAAATTCTAATTAATAAACCATATCGTCAATAAATAAAAACTTTAGTTATTTTCTTGTAGTTTGTGTTACGAAGGTTGATAATGCCACTTGTACAATAACTTTTGAGAACATTGTTGACAATGTTGCATGTGTCAAAAAAGTGTTAATTGAAAATATAAATTGTTTTTTAAATTGTCCAATAATAAAGTATCACGTGACATATTGTCAACTAATGCTTTAAAAATCGACCCAAAAACGAAAGAGGGTCAAGGTTTAAAGTGTCGAACTGGGGTCGAATTGAATGACAAATTAAATAAAAAAAATACACAAATAAACTATAAAATATCATAACTATAAATATATTTTCATATTTTAGTTTTCTCATTCAAAGTAAATATAATCTATGTTTGTTAATTAGATTTATTATAGTAATATATTTTATAACCTTAAAAACTAACAATTAATATATCCAAACTATTTTGTTTTGTTCAAATTGAAATTGTTCGTGCTATAATCCTTGTTGGGGGTCATGATTTGATAATGAAAATAATGAAGTAAACTAGTAAATGCTTAAAACTAACAATTGGCTAGTATCCAACATAGAAAGATTACCACAATATTGGAAGAAGGGTCTCCTTAAAAGGAATTAGCTTTTCACATTGAAAGATTACTAAAACATTTTTTTTTTTAATGACCGTAAGTGTGCGAGCTAGCTTACGTGCACCTCTCACGTGATCCTAAAGTTTACAGACGAGTATTCACCTCAACGATCTTGAAGGGAAAAGATTATTAAAATATTGAAAGAAGAGTTTCCTTTGAAAATGAGCTAAAGGAAAATTACTTGTATAAAAAAGATATTTAGACCTTCCATTGCAAAGGGTGGGCCATTAAAATTGTTAAATTTTTTTTGGGAAAAAAAAAATAAAATTATATCACCTGAAAAAAACCAGAAAAACCGTGGCCGGTTTCACAGGTTTTTTGATTGAACATATATTGTTGATTAAAATTTTGCTATTTTTATATTCATAATGAAGTTTCTTTTTCTTCATGAGAATATTCTTAAGTACATAAACTTCATTCTAGATGAGATATAAAAGTGGTCGAGGATGAATATAATACTTTCTTTTTCTTCACGTCGCACTTCATTTTCAAAATCACCACTTCTACTTCTTAGGTAGCTGCTTTAGATGGATAAATAAAATGCAGAAATAGCAGATGAATTATTATTATTTATAATTTTTAAGAACAAAAACAAAATAATTCAAACTATTATACAAACTTGTGCCACGTGTTCCTCACTGGTCCTAATCAAATTCAAATCATCATTAAGAAATAGTTAAGACCCTGGCTTTAACAGATCTCAGTCGGAATTAGACAAAATTTGGAGGGACAAAGAATGTTACAAGAACCCTACATGCGACAAAATTGCAATCACCAGAATGCATCATCAGATGGCCCAAATATGGTTCGCAAATAAACTATGACAACAAACAAGGAATTGAAGGGAATTATTTTTTTGGTTAAACTAGTGCTAAGAAGCTTCAAAAGGATCCCTTTTACCTGAATAAAGCCCAAAAAATCACCTCAAAGAAGATCAGCAACGTTTGATGGAAGTTCTTCGATCATCACATTGTAAAACCTCTGTATATCGTTGAGCATTTTCTCATCATCCTTTGTCGTGAAGTTTATCGCAACTCCTTTTCTTCCGAACCTTCCACTTCTTCCGATACGATGTAGATAATTTTCAGGTTGAGTTGGAAGATCATAATTTATCACAAGAGAAACTTGTTGGACATCAATACCACGAGCCAAGAGATCGGTGGTAATAAGAACCCGAGATGACCCAGAACGAAATTCACGCATAATAATGTCTCGAGTATTCTGATCCATGTCTCCATGAGTAGCCGAGACGGTGTGGTCACGGCTTCGCATCTTGTCAGTGAGCCAGTCGACCTTGCGTCTGGTGTTCACAAAAATGACACTCTGATTGATGGCTAAAGTCTCATATAGATCACAGAGGGTTTCGAGCTTCCAGTCTTCCTTGTCAACGTTAACATAAAACTGTTTAATACCCTCAAGAGTTAGCTCATCCCGCTTCACCAATATTCTCACGGGTTTGTTCATAAACTTCCTAGTGATTTCAAGGGCTTCAGGTGGCATTGTGGCTGAGAATACACCAACTTGAACTTTAGATGGCAGCAACTGGAAGATATCATATATCTGGGAAGTATATACAATATGAAATATCCCAATCAGTAGAAGGGCCTCATATTTCAATAACAAATTAGTGTTCATCCAGCATATATGCATATATACACATTAAATCCGCGAATAAACACCCTCAATCACGATAAAGTGAAGAAAAGAAAGTACCTGATCCTTAAAACCTCGAGATAGCATTTCATCTGCCTCATCAAGTACAAACATTTTGATGTAATCAGAGCGAAGTGACTGTCTACGCAACATGTCAAACACACGACCAGGTGTGCCAACAACAACATGAACACCAGCAGAAAGAATACGTTGATCCTCGCGAACGCTGGTTCCACCTACACAGGCATGAACCTTCACACCAAGGTAGTCGCCAAGTGCTCGCATAACCTTCTCAATCTGTTGTGCAAGTTCTCTAGTTGGTGCCAGAACCAATGCCTGACATTGTGTTAAACCATAGTTGAGCTGCTGCAAGATGCCAGAGCAGAAAGTAGCTGTTTTTCCAGTTCCAGATTGAGCCTGCTGAATAACATCGAGTCCCTTGCAGAATGGAACAATGCCTCTTTGCTGTATTGCAGAGGGCTTTTCAAAACCTTAAAAAGAAAAATTGAGAACAAAAATAATAAATAGGTCCTTGAAAGAATTTGAAGATAAAAAAACAGCATTATTGCACTCACCATAAGCATAAATCCCTCTGAGGAGATTCTCTTGAAGACCCATAGCATCAAAACTTTCATAGACCTCATCATATGATGTGAAGAAATCTTGTCCATCAACTTGAAGCCTACGCCAAAGAGGGCAAACAAGCATCACCTTCTAATTCACCACTGCCAATTATTTAAATTTCGAGTAAACCTCATGGAAACTTACAATTCACTCATCTTCACATCATAATGACGAGTGTCAAATTGTGATCCTTCCAGCCCCAAACCTGCCATAACTGCAATGTGTTCGATATATTGACGAACAAGTTCTCCACAATTGAGGAAAGAATTTTTTACAAACAAATTGCAAAAGGGTAAATGAGGAAAAATTAATTGAAGAATATGGGCAATGAATAAGAGCATGACTTTCTCCTTGTCAAGGTAAATGTCACAGAAGAGCCAAACTTGAAAACCATGTATTATGGAGTACAAGCATTAAACTTCGGTTTCAATGTTTGGGGAAGATATTCCAGATGGCAGGTGGCTATCTGATAACAAGAAGAAAAATCCTCTATAGCAGAAGCCTCTTCACCATCTTCCCCGAACTTTACCACGCCTCCCACAAGGTGACATAGGTATTCAAGATTTGGAATAAACAATAAACAATTTAAAATCTAATAAGGATTCTGCAACCAATGAAATATCATGAGTATAAACCACATCAACTAATAAGCCCACACAACATACATGTATAGTGGCACATTCAGTAACTGTAATCAAAACAGGGTAGAAAATGTAACAGAAGAGCCAAACTTGAACACCATGTGATATGGAGCACAAGCATTAAACTTCTGTTGTGATGTTTGGGGAAGATATTCCAGATGGTGACTATCTGCTAACAAGGACAAAATTCCTCCATAACAGATGCCTCTTTATCATCTCCCCCAAAATTTAGCAAGCCTCCCACAATTAAATAGGTATTTAAGAAGTTTTGGAATTAAAATTAATAATTAACAAATAAAAAATCCATTGAAATCCCACTAACCACAAATGAACCACGTCAACTAATAAGCTGACACGATGTACATAAGCATAAGCATCCAGCAAGAAAATTGCATGGCTATGTAAAATGGCATATTCAAAATTTAGTAGTATCAACTGGGCCACCAAATTTAGGATCAGGAAACACACAAACTAAAAAGCCCAGATATTTTAACGATTTAGAGTTCTCACTGAGGATGCCGCTTCAAAAAGTGCCACAAATCAATCCCAGAAAAACGACGCCTTCATAACTACACCATATCAATGTTTTAAAGCCTTCTATCTTCGCATATTCATCGTTTTCACATAACGCATTATACATATTCAAATAAAATCAAGTTTTATCCTAACATGACAGATCAAATACAAATATGCAGTGAAACTGTAAGCAAACTCTGAATTACAAATGACAGAAAACAACATTTCGCAAAACAAACCTTTGAATCTGAATGAGGAAACAAAAAACTGAGAATCCTTGTATAAGAACGCTTAGAATTACTCCTCGGATCTGAACCTTGGAGTTGGAGAAGAAACGTAGTAGTGAGAACTGCTTTCGGTACGTGATTTGTTGGCAAACATAGGACTTGGTAAGAAGGCGGTCCTATTATACAGGACTGTCTCATGTTTGGCCTTGTCCTGTTTTTGCTCTAATTTCCCTAAACCGTCCCTCTTTCCCGTAAAATTGCGGCTAGGGCAAAATTCAAAACATGCCATCCCCCAAATTCTGTCGTGCTAAAGGGCTGGAAGAAACAGCCCAAATAATATGTAACTCTTGTTTAAATCCCATTATCCAAAAATTCGTTTTTAATAAAACTCATTATTAATCACACATTTTATTGAAAATAATACTATTTAATTTGCAGACTATTGTTTTAACTCGAGGATTTACCTATTGCGCACTCGAAGGATAACACTTGCAAGTTACCCCGTCATAAAAAAAAAAAAAAAATCTATTTAACATTAATAGTGCTAGAATACTAAATTAGATGGCCACATTTGATATGTTCAATTAAATTAATCACGTGACATTACATTTAAATGTATTTATTATTTAATATCATACAACTTTTATACTCGACATCAATATTGTTAAATAACATTACTCTTCTGTCAATAAATTATTTTATGGGGAAATAAAATATATTCCTTACCTTTTAATCACTCATTCTTCGAAATCACAATTACAAAGCCGTTCTCTCTCTTTCTTTCTTCTCCTTTCTTTTGTGAAAATGGGGTTCAAACAATGGCATAATGTAAGAGCCCACAATGTTTTAGGTTTCCATAGTGTTGTCGAAGTGGAATTGTAAATTAAGTTCGACTTTTATAGTCTTTTTTAACAGGACTTCTATATATGTTTTGTAAAATAATTTTATGAGGAGGTCACGTTGAATTAGTTTTTTTTTAAAATAACTTTGTGCCATATAGACTGATGCTTAGCATCGAAACTAGATATCATTATTCCTTATCTTCACTTTCATGTGGTATATAGTCTATACCAGTGACAATTGCAAACCATCGTGATAATATATTTATTTGTAATTGAACAATCTGTAGATTCATAGATTACAATTCTCAACAAGAACTAATTTGGTCTTTGTTTTATTCAGTTGCATTTTTTATGATCTTTTCTGATATGAGTTCCTATTATTGAAAATTACACTTGAAATGAAGTTTTTCTAATCCACTTTCTCGACATGTTTGGGAATTTCAATCAACGTGTAACAACCTCATCGAGCGCATTGCAACTTTATTGGAGTAAAAATCTAATTATCTTGTATTTGATAAAACTAGCATTTTGCAAATCTTCTTTTCCTTTAACTATTACTACATGCATATTTAATTATTTCATATTTATGTTCTTATGAAATAACTTGCTGATGTTTTGTCCTTTCGAGGTACAAACGTGCCTATAATACTTTATGACATTATTTCTACGGATTGAAGTAGTATTTTGATTTGAGAATGCAAGATCGAACCTTTGTTTGCCCCTATCGAAGCTTTAGTTCATTAGATACTTCCAACATTGTTGCTTTTAATTAAAGTTGTTCATTAGAAGGAAGAATGCCATTGAAATTGCTTCTGATTGGATTAATATTTGCTGCAGAAAGTAGCACAAGCAGTTTAACTCCCTAGAATGCTCACATTGTCACATAGTAATTGATTATGTTTTGCTAATTATGGTCACTTTCTTCACTATTCGCAATTTCCATTTGCATTAGGCAAACAGGCCGAGCTTGTAGGCTCAGCTCGATCATAGATGGCTCGTGCTCATCAAGTCATGAACCATTGAATACCATTTTTTTTTTCATGGGCCTGCTCATTTTTTTGATTTTTATGAAAAGGCTCAACTCGGCTCGTGATCCAAAGAGCCAGACATAACCTAATTTGTGGAGAAGTTGAACTCCACATGAGCCGATCTAGGGTCGTTTATAGGGTCAAACCGAGCTTCAATTGTCCAATTGACACCTCTAATTTGTATTTTCTGTTGCAGATATATGTATCACTCCCCTAAAAAAAATTTCCCTCATAATGTAGATACGAAATTGTTCATGATGGATTAAATAATTTACACGAGAAAACTTAACCCTTAAGGTGAAGCGAAGTTGAGAAAATCAAAATGTTTTGAGTGGTACGGTCACATTGAATGAATTACATTTACACGTGAAAGAAAAATAATCAATAATTGTTACAAAATCGTTGCTCTGGGACTATATACTATTTAAACTATTTAAGAAATCGTGACAAAATTACAAAAGTAAAGATCGATTGAAAAATTGGTTGATATTAATAATCTCGATTGTCAATTTTTAGTGGAACTGTCTTAGATAGAAATGTCATACTCCAAACAAAATTGAGTAAATATTTATTTAAGATATTATTGTAATTACTCAATTTTGAGGAATTTGTTTACAACTCGACCCTACTTATTAATATTCTTCTTTTAGACAAACATTAAGTCCCTGCTTGGTACTCATTTTTTTCAAAATGCATTTCTCTCTCTCTTCTTTATAATCATACATTTTTATTAAAATAATATTATACGTAAATAAAAAAAAAATTCTTATTTTTTAACCACACATTTCACATCAATTTACTGTTCTAAAATACATTTTTACATAAAAATGACTCTCAAACACCCCCTAAATTAAAACATACTTCATCGCTACGAATAAAGTTTGTCTCACCTAACTAGAACCATCACAACCGTATGTTTTGAAACTAACTCTTTTGATTATGGAGGAAACATATTAAATGTGGCCTTGTGCTCACGTTTTATAATTGGTAGGGATTAAATTTTAGATTTTAATTTAAATCAAATTGAACTATTTATTTTAACTATATAATTTTATTTTATAAATTCTACAGTTTTTCAATGACATATTTTATTAATTTATATTAAAATCGATTAAAAGTTTTATTTTAATGCCCACTAGGGGCAATATATAAATGGAAGAGTGAAAGGAAACCGGAAATTCCTCTTTTGTATTTTGCTGACTTTTTTTATTCAGCCATTTCGCAGAACAGCACACCAAAACCCCCAATTAGTTACATTAATAAACATACACGTGCCCCTTTGTACCGTTCAAGAGCCATCCCACCCACCTTCGGTTGATTAATTGATTCTTCATTAGCATTCTGAGGAGAGGGGCATCTGAATTTGCCATCAACATGACTTTCGCTTCTCGGATTTTCCATCACTCTAGAAAGGTAATATTAGACATTTGTACTTTTTTTTGGGGTGATTTTGCATGATGGATTCGGGATTTTAGTTGAATTTTGATTTGCAAGAATGCAGAGTTCGTATTTCTAAATGTTTAGATGCATTTTGTACGAGATGACAAAAATTTAGGTGCTCAATCTGAAATCTGATGTTGGTTTTTTTTGTATGTTTTTGGGGAAAGTGGGTATTGGATCTTGCTGTTGGATTGTTTCATATGAGCTTTATTTCATTCTGGTGATGCAGTTGTACAAAATATAATTTTCTATAGGCGGTTGGTTTCATATTGAATTCATCGACCATATTAATTTTCTACAAATGGACGTTTAGGTGTTGATTGCAGTTGCACGACGAAGTCCTACAGAATTGACCGGCAAACCCTTAAGTGCATGAGTGCATGCTTTTGCCATATATGGATTGTGTTACGCTGTGGTTCATGGGAGAGTGGCCTTTGCTTAAAGTCTTTCGAGCTAATTGAACTAATAGGACCTTAACATGAACTCGTGATGAATTCAAAATTATAGCAAAAACTGCTGATGGCAGCTCAAATTTTGTTGCCGCATTTCCATTTTAGAGATTCTTTTTTGTTTCATGGGCAAGTCTATGCATCTGTGTTAAGATAATGATCTCAAAGTTGATGTTGCTCATGAACTTGGTAACAGTTTTGATGTGTATGATTGTGGTAACAGTAGTTGAACTTTTTGTTCAATCTTCCAAGCTAAAACATTATGGACTTTATTCAGGTTCTCTAGGCTAACAAATTTATTTCCTTATCCAGTTCTGATCTTCCGTTTACTTTTTCATTCAATTTATTTATCAACAGACGAAAAACAACTCTTTACATTTTCTTTGCCGTAATAAATATCAAAGCCAAGTAAAAACTCAACATTTTCTCGTTCCAGTTCTTCATGATAGACAATATGTATTTTGTTTTATCTATGTGTTTTCATTGACATTAGCATATATTTCAAATTTTACAGCTCAGGCACTCTCATAAGATTCTACAAAGTGATCGTGCAACTTTAGCATGCTGGGTTTCCAATGATGTCAGCCAACATGGTCTTGGACCTGGAGGAAACCATGGGGTTTCCAAGGTCTCTAGCGGAAACCTCTTTAACCGTAGTTACAGAACGGTAAATCCCAACCTTGTGATTATATCCATTGAAAAATTTTCCTCCCTTTCCTTTTGCTGGAATACTGTCCATTTGAGTTCTTTTCATGATATAAAGATGTGTACATATTGTTCACGGATTGGATTGAAATGCTGAAATCTGTATTGTGTTATGCAGATATCTGTTGTAGGAACACAACTGGGAAATGCTCTGAGAACAGAAATGGAAGTGCACACAACATATGCTGGCACGAAGTTCAACAGAAATCTCCCGTGGTATGTTTTGTTTCATGCTGAGATCATTTGTCTTCTTGCGTAAACACATCACTTTTACAATTGCCTTGTTTAAACATTACCTGATATTTGTGTTGCTGATTCCAGTCCAAAGGGTAATTCAAGGATAAGTTTTTCAACAGCTTCAGGTTAGTTTAGCCTTACAATTTCCTGCTGACACTGTTATTTGTAATGGAGCTCCATACTTTTGGGGATGTTTTAGGTTAGTCACCATCAAATTATAATTAAAGCATACAAGTCTAAACTCTGGTTCTAGACATTTTACATATCTGGCAACTATTTAATATGCATATTCTATAGTTTGGTAATATAAACTATTTTCTATTCCCTATGTAAAATTTTAAATTACTTCAAACCTGAAAATTATTGATCCTAGGATTATTTCGATTGTCCATTCTGCTAGATCCTTTGTGGACATTCCCTCATTCTCACTGGTTCTTGTCTAAAGGATGTCCATCTATGCTAAACATGTTACAATCTCTCAGGTCTACCTGCACACCAAGAGATTGGGATGCCTTCTCTGTCTCCTACAATGACGGAGGCATGTATCTTTCTGAAGTTCTTGAAAGCATCTACTCATACTACTTCTTCTGTTGCCGTGACAGTTGTGATTCATCCTTTTGCGTCATGCAGGGAAATATTGCTAGGTGGTTGAAGAAAGAGGGTGACAAAATTGCACCTGGTGAAGTACTTTGTGAAGTTGAAACGGTATGTTTGATCTTTTCTGTTGTCTGTTCTTAAATAAATATGGTTCTCCATGTTATCTTGTTAACCTGATATTCTATTTTAATACCCCTTCTATACTTTCAGGATAAAGCAACAGTGGAAATGGAATGCATGGAAGAAGGATATCTAGCTAAGATTTTACGAGGGGATGGATCTAGTGGAATTAAAGTTGGTGAGGTATTGATCTCATTTGTATAAAAGAGCCTTTGGTTCAAGCTGCCTATTGAATGTTTTTTCAGAATTTATGCAGTAATATTTTGAAGAACGCTGAACAAAGGAGTAATTTTGTTTCCCTTACCTGGGCCTTCACAAAAACTCATTGTTTGTTCTATTATTTATGCAATCAAATAATATATTCTTCACTAAATCGTTAAACTTAAAACTATGCTAGTTCTTGGATGTCACTGATCAGGGTCCGTTCTTCAACTAGATAATTTGGATGGAATATTACTTGACGTCGTTTTATTTGGTTCCTCTGACATAGGAGATCATTCATCGTTTGGGCAGGTTTAGTTCTCATTGTAATCTCAATCAAATGGCATTTTTGTTTTTGAAATATATGATCCAAACTAAATACAATAAATTTGGTTCTTTCCAAGTCATCAGAAATGTAAGCCTCATTGTCTTTGTTTTTCATGGGACTTCTGGTTACTTGTACTGGTAACTGAACCTAGGTATCAATTAGTTCCCCAACCCTTGAAATGGAACTATACCGAATAGCTGAAAATGAAACCAGACCAACTGAGCCATTGGGAATGAATGCCCACTGGAATTCATAAATAGGAAAATATATAGTTACACTTCAGATAACTGTGTAAAGATTATACAATTAAAAATGGTTTCTTTTGGATTCTTCAAGGTTATAGATTTTCGTATCATGAGAATCGTAATTATTTAGTTTTGTAACTTTTCTGAAAATTACTTTTGCTTCTAGATAATTGCCATAACTGTCGAAGAAGAGGAGGATGTTGCAAAATTTAAAGACTATCAACCTTCAACATCAGATTCTGCACCTGCGCCTGAAACATCCCCTGCTCCAAGTCCACCGAAAGAAGAGATTGCAGAAACACCTGCTACTTCACCAGAACCAAAAATTTCCACACCTACTGCACCTCCTTCAGCAGGAAATCGCATTTTTGCCAGTCCTCTCGCCCGGAAACTAGCTGAAGATCACAATGTACATTATGCATACTTCATACAATTATCCTATCAATACTATTTCCTTGGAGAATAAGAGTTTGTTTCTCATTGCGTCTTTCCTGTCTTCTGCCGTCTATAAATTATCATGATACTAGGTACCCCTTTCAAACATCAAAGGAACTGGCCCTGATGGGCGAATTGTGAAGGCCGATGTTGAAGGTTATCTTGGTATTTTTCTTCATCCCTGTCTACATGGAGTTTATGCATTAATTGGCTGATTCTTGGCACTGTCTGAATTATTGTACTTTGGTACAGTAAAGCATTTATTGATTGTTTAACATATTTTATACTAAATAATCATCGACTTGATTTTTAAACAATTTAGTAACCCATTTTACCTTCTCTGTACTGTAGCTTCTCGTGGTAAGGAAGTTCCACAAGCTCCCAAGGCTGCTGCCACAGCTACTGCTACTCTAGATTACACCGACATTCCGCACACACAAATTAGAAAGGTTCAGCTTCACCATTCTCATCTCAGGACCTATATATTGCTGCTTTTATGAAATTTTTATCTAAGTTTGACAAAAATTATACTTGTGTAAGTTTTACAAATTCTGGCCATGATCCAACCAGGGTCAGCCAACTCATGCCGGGGAAGTCATATGATCATTTTCAAAACATGTGTAATATTCTTAATATGGGAAAATATTTGGAGTGCTTGTAGCTCTCTTGTGCAAATCATAAGTTGCAAAATGCAATTAACCTTCAGATCTATGTTTTTAACACTTTTAATTATCATTCATGACCGAGTTGTTTATTGCAGCTAATTTCCGTACCATCTTGACAGGTGACAGCATCAAGGTTGTTGCAATCAAAACAAACCATTCCCCACTATTACTTAACTGTAGATACATGTGTAGACAAGCTTATGGAGTAAGTGTTGATGTCCTCCACTGATATTTTGCTGCAATGAATTTTATTTTATATCTTACATTCCACCTGTTCTGCAGATTGCGTAGCCAGCTAAATGCATTGCAGGAAGGTTCAGGGGGGAAGAGGATATCCATTAATGATCTTGTAATTAAGGTATCATTAACTTTGGAACAATCTCAATTTCTTTTTCTTTATTTATATTATTCTGAAAAGAGAGAGAGGGGTGTGAAGGGGAGTAAATTGACTGATTGTCTCGAACAATTAACTAAGCACCTATTTGACTGCAGGCTGCTGCTTTGGCTCTTCGAAAGGTTCCTCAATGTAATAGTTCATGGACCAATGACTACATTCGCCAGTAAGTGTACTCAATAATGCAAGTCATAGCAAACCAGTTTGGGCCATTTACTGTAATACTTTAACATGTCCAATATAGGTATCACAATGTGAATATCAATGTTGCGGTGCAGACAGATAATGGGCTGTATGTGCCTATAATTAGGGTATGTTGTTGTCTCAACTGTATTTTCTTTCATAGAGTCTAATGCTTATAGTTTGTTTTTAGGCTCCGTAAGTCCTATTTAAAACTTCACAACCAAATCGCAGGACGCTGATAAGAAAGGTTTATCGAAAATTTCTGAGGAAGTCAAGCATTTAGCCCAGAAAGCAAAAGAAAACAGCTTGAAACCAGAAGATTATGAGGTGAAACTCGGAACAACCTCTAGATCGATAGTTCCTCGAGATATGAACTCTGACTGACATATCCTCTTTACAGGGGGGCACATTCACGGTGTCAAATTTGGGAGGGCCTTTTGGAATCAAGCAATTCTGTGCCATTATTAATCCTCCCCAATCGGGCATTCTTGCAGTTGGCTCCGGTAAGATATGATGACGCATTTATTTATTTTTAGGTGGATATCATCCTTTTCTCACTACTAAGAACCTCTGAGCAGCTGAGAAGAGGGTTATACCTGGTGGGGGTCCTGACCAATACAAGTTTGCTTCTTTCATGTCCGTGACATTGAGCTGTGATCATCGGGTTATTGATGGTAAGTTCTGTGTTTTGACTTTTAGTTAGAATGGGTCTCTTAGTCTCGTCATTTCTGGTCATACTATCTATTAACCGATCTACTTACATTGGATATTTTGGTCTAAATTCCTTTAATCGAAATCCTCTGTTTTGACAAATGAATACATTTCTATAATCCCGTATGTCGACAACACATTTATTAATGCTCAAATTCGTTCTTCTGCCTCAAATAATCATTTAGATAAGCAAGAATACTATTTCTACAGAAAATGCCGTACCTGAACTGGCTTAACTGAAGGCTCTGACTTTAGTTTCTGCTTTTTTAGGTGCAATTGGTGCAGAATGGCTGAAGGCATTTAAGGGATACATTGAGAATCCAGAAACGATGTTGCTCTAAAATTCATTCATTTTCTGCCTTTCCTCGTTTTCCAGTTTTGATGACGGAGTTGCGTGAATGAATCATAACCGATCATTCCGAGTTTCAATTTTTGGCATTTGTCATAATTTTTCAAATAATTTTGTAGACTAAATTATAATGCCCAGTTCTGAACATGAGATAATTTACGTCTGAGATATCTGTTGTCAAATAAAAGCAGTCCCGATGTGTCAAAGGAGCCTGACTGCCTTTCATTCTTTCTCCTCTTGCCTTATATTGTAATCTGTGGTTTTTTTTTTTTTTTGCAGAAATAGTTACACATTATCTAGGTATTGTTTATAACTGCATTAGTATCTTGTTGCAGGCCATCACTACACGAATTTTAGCCCTTAATTGGGCTATCTTTTATTTTCAAAGACACATTCTTCAACCAAATAATATTACAAATAAACTCAAAAATTTTCCTTATTTTTTAATTACACACTCTTCAAAAAGTTTCTATTCTATACCATTTTTCCAAATTTTGTTTTTAATGTTTCCAGAAGCGAAAAATTTCAGTTAGGTCAGTATTATTTTGGACTTCTGAAACTAGTGTTAGAATCTTTTGGTTTGACTAAAAAAAGTTAGAGAAAATTAAATTTTAACCACATTTTTATCAAAACTTATTTATAAATATGATATTAGCTAAATTAAACGGGGGCTGAGTAAACGATAGTCTCTTATTCAGAGTCTGACAAGATAAGCATAGCGGTCTAGAAGTTAGTCATGTAATTGTTACTAAACTCGTTTGGTAGGGATCCATATTAATTTAAGTTAAAATTAATTCATAATTTTCTAATCCCATAATTTATCAATTTTTATTCAAATTTACTAAAAATTTAATTTTAATTCTGGTTCATGAAATGTAGACCAATAAAGAGCCAACCTCAGGAAACTGGTCTGGCCTATGCCTGGACGAGGATTTAAAGTCAAAACAGCAACACATGACAACAGTACCTCAAAATACGATAAAAAAAAATTGCAATTTTCAGCATAAACTAAAAGTAAATGGCTAACTAATGGATATCGAAAACATAATTACTTTCAAAATATATAATAAGTAATCAAATGGGCACGTATCGTTTCAATGCCTGTTTGCCTGTAACGGCGATCCCCACCAGCATACCGCCAATTGCCCCTGCCACAGCTGCAGAACGAGGCCCAGCCGCTGCCTTGTAGAGCACCCCGGTGCCAAGTCCGGCCACCACACTGTTTATCACATCATCCGTATCCCTATAAGCCACCATGCCGCTCTCAAGCCCTGCGTACAGCAGTCCGATGACCCCGCATCGGTTTCCAATCTGGCGCCCGGTATGACCCGACCCGTTGAGTACCCGGTTGATTTTCAGCTTCAGGGTATCCGTAGACTCGATAGACTTGACGCCAGAGACGAATCCCTTGGCGGCGCCGGCGGAGGAACCGGCCAAATAACCTACGCCAGTGTAGTACGTGAGATTCTCTCCCCAGGAACGACGTTGCGCGCGGGACTCCTCCGGGAAGAGGTACTCCGGGGATGTAGGTAGCTTGTATAGTGTTTGTGCCGGGATCTGCAAGTCTTGATACGGATTGTAAAGTCGACGAGTTGAATCACTTTCATCGCCGTTTCTTTCATTCGGAGCACGAGGCTGGTATGCCATGGCTGACTGTCCGTTGCCCGATTAAACGGATCGAGGCTCCGAGGAAGAGGCGTTGATTATTTCCAGAGAGGAGAATGAGGAAATGAGGAAGCTTTAGGTTTGACGTAGGGAAGGAATTATAAAGGGGTCCGGTTTACGGTGTGAGTCGGTGGATTTGTTCTAGGGTTAAATTCATCGATGGTGAACCGGTTCGATTCTGCTGAATATTGGCAAATCAGCCCATCTGTATGGCAACGACGTCGTATCAAGTATAGAATATCAGTCATGAATGTTTCAAAAATAAAATAAATGGTAAATAATAAGGAATTCGTTGGAGTTTACATTTTAAATAAAAATGCTCTCCATTATGATCAAGGTCCTTAGTAAAAATAAAGTGTCAGGAATTAAATGTACGTGTCCAAGTTGTTAGCTTATACGAAATGTTTTTTTTTAGGAAAGCATCGATCGTTTTAACTTGTTTAGCAATTTGCTATGATTGGTGAAATTCATTGTTATTTTTTAATTAAAGTTAATTAAAACATTAGAAGTCTTTAACAAATAACTAGCCAATAATAATAACATTCAAATTTCTACCTGTCATAAATTGTTGAATCGTTCTCAATTTTCTCCTACAAATACAATAACATGATTTGTACATTGAACACGACAAGATTAAGGAAAAGATAAGCGTAACAAAATCTACTAGAAGTTGTGTCCACTCTAGTAATTGCTATGACATAGAATGCTAGACGGAACGGACCAGGAATGAGCAGACCAATTTTTTTCCTTTCTTCACTTCAATGGTTCCTCTCTCTCTCTCTCAGAAGATCACTTTAGCATCAGAAAAGGAAAAGTTACAACCCTTCTTTTTCTTTGTCCAAAGTAAGAGATGCGACTATTTCAATGTTCATGCCTGTAATATATCATCTACACTTGAGCTTTAAAGGCTGCTAAATATTTGAAAAAAAAAAAGAAGAAGCATAACGACGGGAAAACTAACGGTGTGGTAAGCTTGTCACGAGTCTTCACTATATCGCTAGTTAGTTTACTAAGCCCCATGATGAATTGAATTCTTGTTTATCATTTATGATATTGTACAATCTTAGTACTCTTCAACTGGTCAATATTTCACTGCTTGATCGAATATTTCTATGAACTGTCCTTTCTGAGTTGCCTGCTCAACAATATAAGTCGAACACATTGTAGGCTTGGCAGTGATCATTTGCAACAAAGTTATTCCAAAAGAATAAATATCCGATTTTGTGCTTCGCCAACTTCATACTCTTACAGAATCGGTCACTTCCTAACGCACCAGTCTATCTAAGTGCTGTTTCAATCCTGAGCCTCATTAGTGGCGTTAAAATGGATGGATACGTTCGTGAAAAGTCCTTAGCATAGGTCAGCATTGTCATTTTATTACTTTATCAAATACTCCGTCCAAGCCGTGAAGTGAGTTGATTCCTCCGCTCACAATGCTCAAGTTGTAGCTGAAGATCTACCTTCTTCTCTTCCTTTTAATAGTTCGAAATTCCAGGGGGAAGGGAAGAGTAGCCACCAAAGCTTGATTCTCGGGACTGAACTTGCAACCTATGTATTCGTAATGGTTCTTAATGCCACAGGTGTCATTCTAAGATCCTCGGCTATATCCGATGGGTGGGATTTGAAATCATCCACAAACATAGTAAAGCACCAACACTAAACTTATGAGCAGCTTCTTTTTCTCGTCTGGAATTCTTGAATCATTTGGAGTAGCAAAAAGTGAAGATAATTTCTGGGATACGATACTCGAAAATTTATGGTGCTTCCCAGATAAAGCGCCATCCATAGAGTGTTTTGTTATGTATTTATGGTATATATATAAAATGTGAAAGAAATAATCAAATTAGATAAAGTGCCAAAGTGGTGGGAAATGTGACATTTGTGTGGGACGTCGGGGGTTCGAATCACTCCCCACGCAAATATTAAAATGTCTTGATTGTGGCCTTGGGGCCTTGGGCTCTTGGGCTTCCTTGACTAAAATAAATATTTTTTTTTTGTTATTTAATTGGTAAAACTAGCCAGTATTTTATGACTGTTTGTTTTTGTAACAACCCACTAACTGCCATTAAAACACCCACTACTCAGTCATTAAAATTCTGCATTAACATGGTGAAGACTGTTACCACCATCCTACCTATATAAACCCATATCTCGTTTTGGAAAAAGACACACACAAAGACAATAGAAAAATCATCTTGCATCAATCACTCTTTTCATATTGAAAATTTCTTATATTCGGGTTTTTATATCTATTCTGGAGTACAATTGAGAGTTCTAGAAAAACCATTCGTGATTGCTGCACAAGTGGTTTACGATCGTTGTATCCTGGGAGTGATTGTCCACGGAGGTCGCAGCAATTATTGACGGGCAATTTCACTTTAGGACATCGTGCTGTCACGAGACTCGAACGGACGATAAGTTTTATATTTCTGCATTATATTGTTCTGATCACCGCTGCAACTAATTATTTTTACAACAATCTAAAGTGAAATTATCTTTATAATTAGTTGCCATGTCTGCCGTAGATATATCTGTTCCTAAGTATTCTGAAAAACCTGAGTTGTTTGATGGAAAGAATTTTAAGAGATGGCAAATGAAACTGCGATTTTATTTGACAACACTTAAAGTCGTTGATGCTATTGAATTAGATAAACCTGGTTTTACAATTGCTGATCATCCTACTGATAAGGAAACCGAGGATTTAGCTAATTGGGAACATAAGGATTATATGTGCAGAAATTATATTCTAAATTGTTTGACTTTAGATTTGTATGATGTTTACTACTCGTGTAAATCTGCAAAAGAGTTATGGAATTCATTAGAAAAAAAATATGCTACAGAAGATGCTGGAACCAAGAAATTTGTTGTGGGAAAGTTTTTAGATTTTAAAATGAATGATGTCAGAACTGTGGTTAGTCAGGTTGAAGAATTGCAGATTATAATTCACGAAATTATTGCTGAAGGATATAAAATCTGTGAGGGCTTTCAAGTGTCAGCTATAATTGAAAAATTGCCACCTTCTTGGAAAGAGTATAAAAATAGTTTGAAGCATAA